ATTCTGTTTGTTTGCTGTGTAGCTACTGCAGAATTGCACAAAAGATGGACAAGAGCCAGCTGAGAGAAAAGGACGATTGTGAGGCAAAGTCTGGCTTCATCTCAGCACATTCCCCTGTATATCGTCTGTCACCGTATATGGAATACAATGTGAGTGTTCTCAGTGTCAGCTTTTTTTTCAAAATAAAGTTCATACACAAATTACCACATGAGCAAGGCACCTAGTTGGATTTGGAAAACTTTGCATTAAAAAGCTATAATTTTAAAAAAAAAAAGAGTATATTAAACAATCACCCAAATCTATTGCCAACAAAAAGTATTCTGTTATTATTTAGAGATCTTTAAGTACTTTTAAAATACATGTACCGAAAACTGTTTTAAAAGGTCACCACTGCACATACATGAAACAGGAACAAACCTGAATCCAACAGCAAACTTCCTGCAGTGGGGAATCCTTCTTCACGCTCCTCTCTACAAACCACAAACTCACATTTCACCTAGTTTACACTGTTAAGAAACCAGTGCTCACCTTGTCTGTAGTTGGTCTTTTGGGACCATGGAAGCTCTGCAAGCAGCTTACTGAACATCCAGTCGGCCTCTTCTGGGGAGAGAAATCCAGGCAGCAGCCGCAGCCTCGGCAGATGAAAGATAAATAGACACAGACTAAATCCCCATAAACATAAAGTAAGAGTATACAGTATGTACTTTACCCTGGTTTTCTAAGAGTTTAAAGTCTGGGCATTCCAATTATTTCTGTAAGGCATAAAATTCCTCCTTAACAATATGAACGTGTAACCTTAAATACACAGGGAAAAGGCTCTTGTGTAAAATAGTAAAATTTTTCAACATCCAGATCAAATAGCAAAATCAAATGACTGACAGTTACTTTTGGTTTATTATCCACTACAACCATTCTGTTAAGCTCACAAAATGACCTGCTAAAATTCAAACTGAACCTCGGTAACAAAATACAGACTACAATAACATTGTCTCTCTGTAAATCAGATTTTTCTAATAACAATAAAATCAAAATTGACATGCTAAAAATCTATGTGAAAATAGCCTAATTGTACCTTCCACTATATAATAAAGCACAAGTTATGAAATATACTTAATTATTAAAAACAAAGCTCATTTTATGTGTTTTACTGGGGACCATAAAGTAAAAAGCATGACTTTTATTAAGAAAAAGCATATTTATTATGCGACCACTGCCACCTAGTGGATTTAAAACTCAGGCACTGATTTGTGCAATGTTCAATAAACACACATTCAGCTATTTTCCATTTAATTGTTTTTTACACACCTGGACACCCCTGATGGTCCATGGCTGATCTCAAAATCACCTGCCTGTCTGACCAGAACAAAATGAATCACGTTAAAAGTATGTAGTAGAGGACTCACTAAGCCACCTTAAAAATTGTGTGATTAAAAACGTTATCTGTCATAAAAACAAATCTGTGGAAGTAAAGATTGAAATTAGTAACTTACTCTATCATCTTCTCTGGTGGCACATCTCTAATTGGCTGCAATAAAGGAAAAAAAAATAAAAAGTAGTATCCTCACATTCATTTTTATTGGCAGCAAAGACTCATTTTGACTTCTTCACGTGGACAGTCTACCTGGGAGGGCTGGAGAAACTCAAAGGTTTTAGTTGTTTTCTGAGGCCCAAAACCCCAAGAACCAGAGGCCACGTTGGCATTTTTGGATTCATTGCAATTTGGGCCTGCACCTGTTTAAAAAAACAGAATAAAAATCTTGTTTCCTACGTAAATGTCAGCCCAATTTATCACACTTATTTAAACACATAACTGTATTTCATAAGAGAGGAAGAAAATTCCTTATATATATATATTTTTTTTATCTACCTCTATGAATGACCTGAGCTGGCAAAAGCATGCAAATCCTGCATTTCACAGTACACACTACACTTTGATTTACCTGTTGGACTTGAGTGTTTTGGCAGTTGTTTCGCCCAGCAGCCCTGAACTCTGGCACGCTGACGCTTATCTGACATCACATCAAGTCTATGATGTGAGAAAGAAGAGAAACAGATTCATTCACAACTATAGGATTTCTTTATTTGAACACAGAAACTGGCTCTGTACACGCCATATCATAAAAAGGAATTCACACAAAGTGACATTAGGGAAGAATCGAGAACAGTTCCTAACTAAGAACCAGTTCTAGATTATCTTAGCTACCTGACTCTAATCTCAAGCTTATCAAGCTTTTTAGTCAATGCTGGCATGTTTTTTTTGACAGCTGTACATTGCAAAACGGGAATGTCAAACATTTGACAGTGGAACGTTTTCACGCATGTGAGCCTTTATTCTATTCAGCAGTTTCAACACTGTGAGATAATGAGACAAAAACAAATCATGAAGAGTCAATATCAGAACTGATAAAGATCTTTTACAACCAGAAGTATTTGGACAATATTCTCCCACCTGTACAACACCACACTGGAGTTCAGTTCATCTATCAAGATTTCCTTCTTTAATTCAAGGGGCTTAACAAAAATACAGCATTAAAAATTTAGGAGTTATAGCTTTTTAAATGTTTTTCGTATATATAGCCCCCCAAAATTAATTGGATAAATTAATACAATTGTAAACATAAGGACTGTTTTTAATACTGCTTTATAGTTAATGACTGTCTTAAGTCTAGAACCCACAGCCTTTGAGAGCCACCTTCAATTGCTGCTTGGTTGTGGGTCTCCCAGTCTTCACCTTTGTCATCAGTAATTTAAAGTTTCCTCCAAGTGTCAGGTGACTGACTAACTCAGCTTTTGAAGAATATTTAATTTCTTTTCCTTGAAAAACTCTTGGGTTGCTTTTGCGGGTTATTTTGGCTCATCATACATTTGCAAGTCCTGACCAGTTTTGCCGCATTTGGCTGAACATGAGCAGAGAGTATAGTCCTGTACACTTCACAATTCATCTTGCTATATGTACCAGCAGTCACATTAACAATAAACACTAGTGACCCGGTTACAGTGGCAACCATACGTGCCCACACAATAACATTATCTCCACAATGTTTTACAGATAATGTGTTATGCTTATAATCGTGAGTTATTTCTCTTCTTCTGTTCCCGTCATTCTGGTTAAGATTGCTTTTATGTGTTCGCAGAATTCTTTTTAGCTTAAGTGTGAAAGCTGTTTTAGATGTTTTCGGACAAAGCCTGATCTTGTTTTTACGTGTAACCAGTGATTTACACCTTGTTGTAAATTTACATTCATGAAGGTGACTCTGGACTGTAGACTCTAAGTACACCATTGACTGAGATCCATAGACCTACCTCTGTGAGAATTTTCTACACTTGCATCACTCTTTCACACCACATATTGAGAGTTCCAGAATAAAGACATCATATGCAAGCAAGGAAACAACTCCAGAAATGTTATCTTCTTAGTCCATCATGAGATGAGAGAACAGACTTCACCTGGCCCTGAAACTGCTTATCATCCATTTGTCCAATTACCTTTTAACCTCTGAGCAACTTTGTATAAAAAATGGCTGTAATTTCTGTATAGTTACCACAATCCAAAAAATCTAAATTTCAATCACGTCTTCATAATTTTATTTAAAATCCACTCTGCCACTATCCAAATACTACTCTATAAGTCGAACGGAGAATGGCACTCCTACTAATGTCTTATCAATGTCTACCCCTGCATGCAGTTTTTTTTCCCCTTTATGTGAGTGCGTGGAGTGCTGCTCAGATCTGCAGTCCTTTGTGATGCGTAATCAGATGTTGTGAGTTATATATTTTGTTCGAGTGGTAGTTGTACTACGTTCTTTTCCCTCTGTGCCTAATGAAAAGCACAATTTGTTGGATTTGTCGTAGAATCTTAAGGTTTCTGAGAATAAAATATGCAGCCATCAAATTGAACAAAGCAGCTTTTAATAAATTGTTCGATAATTAAACGAAATAATTTCTGTCCCTTTTAGTTAAAGGATAATTTCGATAGTAAACTGGCTATTCTTAACTGAAATACTTGATTAGCTTGGTGCTCAGTATACGTAACAAAAAGTTACTTTAAATAACACTTTTTAAATGTCATACTTCGTAAGAAAATACCAGGACTAACTAATGTTGGGGAAAAAAACTTGAATGACTTACCCAAGTGGTCGCTAAAGCATATCTACAGAACTAAGAGAAGATGGGTTTTTTTTTTTTATTTAAGCTGTAGCGCTGTCAGCCATGGCAAGAGTGTAACAGGGAAAATAAATCCTACCTGGAACCGAGATGTGAAACTATAGTTCCGTCTCTAGCTCTCCTCTCTCCCGCTCTTTTTTTAAAATATATTTTTAGCACAATTTAATGTGAACTATGTCACGAATAAAACTAATAATACATTTTTGTAGAACACATAAAAAGTGAACGTATATTAACACATGGACACAATGAACGTTTCTAGACAGTGAGAATTAACAATTTAAATAAATCATTTTAATTAGTGACCATCATTCATTAGAATATCCAAATGGTGCAGGTGAAGGCAAGACAGTTGTCAATTAATAAGCTTCCCTTTTCAAGCTTAATAAGATTGGGCTTCAAAATGTTTTTAGGATAAGGCTTGATTAGGGGACTATGCTTTAGGCATTAGACTTTCCAGGATATTCTGAGCCTGTCCACTTTTCATTCTCCTTACAGGGATTCCCGTTGCATGCCTCCAACAGATCCGTGTTCCTGAACTTAAGTTACTGGCACATGATTTTTCCAGGGTCCATTCTTTCCTCTAATCATATTAAGAATTTGCTCATAGGGAGCACATATTTGGTAATATGATTGTAGGGTTTCTCTTTGTAATATTATTTAACAATTGCTAATAACTTGTTATTTGGTGCTATATAATTAAACTGAATTTCCCCAAGTCTGGAAATTAAATTTGCTACATCAAGAAATAAAGACTTTTATATTGTGATTTCTTATCACAGATTTTTAAAGTCGTTAAAAATCTGCAAGACCAAACACCAGGCAAGACACTGTGCTATCTGCTAAAGCTTTTATTAACAAACAGTAGAAAAGACAAGTTGCAATCGGCAAGATAAATGTAAATAGTGCATTTTGATGTAAATATTCCAGTTTGGATCTCTACGAAATGAATGGCGCTAGAAAAGCCACTTAGTTGAGGTACAGCTCAATATGGGGGACTGATTTGGGAAATAAAGAGAAACAGTTCCCCCATTTTCACAGCCAACATTTGGTGTCATGTGAACCAGTCTTCATGTAAAAAAAATGTTCCACTTTGTCATTTCAACTCTAACTGGATGTAAATTTGCCACACAATTAATGATCTATCCAACATAATCAGATTTAAAAAAAAAAAAAAAAAACCAGTGGAAAAAACAGACAAACAAAAAAAAACAAAATAACAACAAAAAACTGATTAGAGTAGTAAGAAAAAGAACAATTCAGTAGTTCCTTTGGACGTAGCACCAGTTAACATCCTTTCATAATAAATGGAACCATTAAGCACCCGTTCACAAAATCAGACCATTTCCATCATTAATGCCAGAAGAAAGGCAGTTAACCATCAGATGCTTTGGCTTACAAATATTACACTGATGCAATTAAAAACCCACCACAAAGTGTCATTTTAAACATTCAATCAGAAAAAAAAAAAAAAAGAAAGAAAGAAAAGGAGGCAACATAAGATGAGCTCAGTGGAGCAAATAAACTGGCACAACAGAAAGCAGGCACTGCCATCATTTAACAGCTCAATTTGTAAATAGAACTAAGTTAAAAAATTTGTTGTTTTTTTTTTTAAAGTCAGAGTTTGGCTTCTGTGTTCATACAAATATAAAATAAATAGATCATAAATACCGTTCAGCCACAACATTTAAACCACCAAGTAAGGTGAATAAATTTGATTATTTTTCCACAATATAAATTTTAAACATTTATGCAGACCGAACATACCCCTAAGGCCCCTAAAGCAAGACTGTGCGTCCTGCCATAATACATAAACCTGCTCAGGAAAAGTTCAAGGAATACAGCAGAATCCAGGATATAGACTCAGCCTTCAAATTCCCCAGATCCTTATCTGAATGAGCATTCGTGGTTTATGCCAGAAAGACTGACACAGACGCACCAGTCCTCAACCCACAGCACCAAATAATCTGCTGCAAACAATTCAGTGGTCCCATGTCCATGCAGACAGTCTGGAGCAGTTTTAACAGCACAAGATATACCTAATCAATTTTCAGCAAGTCGTTTTAATGTTGTGGCTGATTGGTGTAGCCTATAAATGTATATAAAAAGATGCCCACCACCATTTTCCACTGCTTACAACAGCAGGGTTAACAAATCCCTCTGTTTTTGGCTGTATCATTTCCACCATCAGTGTCAGTGACTAATATCAATGTCCTTTTCCAAAAGCAGCATTTTATCCTCATTTCACTTCCAAGCTTCTTTGGTCATGTCTGCCCAGATAAATATAAGGATAGAAGGTTGCAGTTTTAGTCAGAGCCACACGTGCCCTGATGTGCAAATTTACTGTAGGCACAAAAGGTGAAATCTCAGGCAACCCTGGCGGATAAATCATACACATTCCCCTCTTCCTTAAATGCTGCAGTGGGTCACAACAATGTGGCTGCTGGCAGCGTCATCAGCCACAGTCCTATTCAGTTTTCAAACTCTGTCCGTTCTTCTGCTCTCGCAGTTTCCTCCTCTGCAGGTATCCCGTACGCTGCAGGCGGTTCATTGTGGCTCCCAGGAAGATAACAATGCTGGTTGGAACCAGCTTGGTGGTCACCCAGCCCTGGATTCACAATTAAAATGAATTTAAACTGCAACTTTAAAATGTGTTCAGCATTCAAGCTTTTCAATAAGAATTATTCATTTGGGCCCCAACATTTTGCACATCTATCAACATTACTAATTTTGTTGAGGTTGCCATCTCTTACCATGACAGCATGAGGGAAGTAGCCATTGGTCTGGCTTTGCAGACCCACAGTGGTGAGCTCAGCTGCTACATAGCGCTCTGGGGTGGGCTTGTCCAAGGTGGGTTTCTTGATACGAGTCATTTTAGTGACCACAAAGAAGGGGAGCACGCTCTGCAGGAGCAAAAAAAAAAAAAAAAAAGATGCAGCAAGCTTAGAAAATATGCAAAGCACTCCCAGCAGACTGTTTAAATCACGAAAGCTAAACTAACTTCGGGTAAGCCATATTTAATATGTAACATGCTCTTTAACCCAAAAGACAAAATCTTTGCTGTAAAGTGATGATTTGGAATGCAAGGAAAAAACAAAAGGCAGACCCTGAACTTTGTGTTATACTTAAACTCCTATACCTGGTCCAACCACAAGGTGGCACATGAGTGAAGACTACAGAGTTCTAAAAACAGAACAAACCAGCTTTATGTGGAACATCAGGTTTAAAAAAAAAAATGCTTCTCATTAAAAGCAGAACACTTCTGTGTGTTCATTTCATTACTCCTTCAATGAAGACTCTTTGAAAAAAGATGTTTAACTTTGTTATTAAAAACCTAAGTGCATTAAGATTTCCAAAACTTGCAAGATTCTGTTTCAAGAATAGGGCTGACTGACTTTGGTCTAACAGCCACTCCAGTCTTTACTTTGTGTCCAAAAGAGTGAAGTTCAGAAAAGCTTTTAATGACCTTTACATGATTTTGTACAACATTTTTAAAAGTTAATGTGCACACACGCTGACAAATAATGAAAGCTCCTAGTTAGTCTCTCATAGATCATAGACTCATATCCAGGCTTCAATGATTGTCATGTTTCTCAGACTCTACTTACCTGGATGAGGATCCCCTGACGTCTGTACTCCTCCTGAAGGCCACGAGAGAAGAAATCCACAAACGCCTGCACGAATGAAAGATCGCCAAAATTACTAAGACAGTCCAAAATATACAAACAAAAAAAAAAAAAAAAAAAAAAAAAAAAAAAAAAAAAGGTTGTGTTCATCTTCTCATTTCCTAGAAAAGAAGTCTTGCCTCTTTAGAAGTGCCAAACACACTGTACATACCTTAGTTGCAGAGTAGACAGTGAGCAGAGGCAATGGGTACATGCCACTGGCAGAGGAGATGTTTAGGATAACACCTTTGGACCTGGGGAAAGCACAGGAAGGTAAATGTTGAACTTATTTTGTATGTGAAATGAAGATGGCTCTTTTTGGGCTACAGCACACAGAGATCATCAAGTTCCAGGAACAATCATCACTTAAAATTACACATTACAGGGTTGATTTTTACTTGCATATTTGCCACATCAAAACAAAGAAGCAAACAAAGCCTAAGTCAAACCTGGAATTTCAGTATCATGACAATCCTACATTAAAAAGCTTTCCTGAAACATTGATCACAGATCAATGGCTACACTTTAAGACCTTATTTTTAATCATCAAATCCACAGAATAAGATTTTTACCCGTGGAAGCCCTGTGTCTATGCATGCTTATTGCACCGACAATTACAAAGTGATACCGCGCGCGCACACACACACACACACACACACACACACACACACACAACACTAAAACAGTGTGGTAGTGGCTGTTTGCGTTGCCATGGCAGCCGGTTGCTGCAGTGATGTAGTGGAGACGCTCCAGCCTCACACGGCACCAAATGTGCCTGCACTACCATTGGCTGGCAGGAATCACATGGGAACGCAGCAGCCAATCGGGTGGGAAGAGCACTTTGTGTGAATTGAAAGCTTGTCAGCATTGCGAACAAAGGAGAGGGAAAGAGATGCAGTCATGGAAAATGCTAGGTGAAGATTTCTTGTCCCCCCCCCCCTCAAAAAAGCCATCTTTTGTTACAGTCATCTCCTAAATACTGCTCTAAAAGAAAAGGGTGGAGGGGTGTTGTTAAATATAAAGATTCCCTGAGTAGCTCGGTGCCACCATCCATCATTTACTACAGGAATATTTTGACTGCAGTAATGTCGCAAAACATGGAAGCCCCATCATATAACTCACCTCTCACACATTCTTGGTAGCACAAGACGGGTCATCTAAAAATAATAACACAAGTTCAGTAAAAAATCAGAGACAATGACAACTTAGAAGGGGGGGGGGGGGGGGGGGGCAAAACAGAGGATAGACTTATTTAAAAAGAAATACTAAAAGTAGGGAGAGAGAAATAGAGAGAGAGAGATGCGTGGGTGGTGAGCACAGACAGCGTTGGTGTAGTTCACCGTTGCTTTGGGAACAACTGAGACACTGCAGGTACCATGGTAGGAACAGCAGAAGAGGAAAATGAAAATGGAGAACAATGACAACAGGGGGAAATAAAGCCTGAGCCATACAAAAACTAATCCAAGCCAAAACAAACAAACCCCAAAACACCAAGTACATGCATAAGTGTATGTAGTTTGCAATCACTGGGCTCAATCCATTCGGAAATTTTTTTCCAGACAGAAACACACTTACCTGGCATACTGAGGTCATGTTGACGTTGATCATATTTGTGATGAACTAAAAAAAAAAAAAAAAAAAAAAAAAAAAAAGCACCATTTGTGTTGATTGCCTGCTCTTAGTTGTAGAAACAAATACTTAGTATGTCTTAAACGAGCAGGAAAGACTAAAAATATCGGGACTTTACACTTGCAATCACAGAAAACATGCAATAACTGAAAGTTCCCATCTTTAAGTAAAGATTACTCACATTATCCAGATCAGGAATGTGGAGGTAGTACTCCGGGTAGGGGTAAGACACACCAACATTGTTAACTGTTAATGACAAAAGGGGAGCAATCATCAATTATTCTGCTATTTTAATTCAATTACATATAGCTGGAGAACTGGAACCACCTCAATTATTCACCACTAGGTGGCAGCAAAAGCAAAAAAGGTAGAAACGGGCATTCAACTCCACAGTAGACACAGCCACACCTTGTAACCAGTAGAGCACAACTGGTATCATAAAAAGAACAAAGGGTTCCTTAAATGTAAAGCTGAAAATGACAGTGTGAATTCTGGAGCCTAAGCAATAAAGAAAAAAAAAAAAAGCAACAGCTGAACCAAGAGTGCATCTATAAATATGTAACATGCCTTGAGAAATTCAGTTTGAAAACACTTGTTTTATGAAACACATGAAGATTAATCTCAGGACAAACAAAAGAAAGGTGGAATATATGAAACGAGTCCTTGACTAAATTATTATGAAACTATGCTGAAGATGACCCAACACCGCTAAACATGACTGAAAAGCAAGTACAAGTCGCCAGCTTTGCCCTTAATGTTAAACTAAAAAAAAAAAGTGCCTAAACCTGCTCTTCAGAAGAATCAAGTTCAGACCAACTTCATTTTTATTTGATTCGCACATGCAGAACGTAAGTATGAAACATCTGCCTTCACCAAAATCTTCAATATCAAGTTCAAATTCTATAATAAGCACGGCTTGATAAACATCGCACCCACATGCTAAGGAAGCAATTTATGATGACTGAATGTATATGATAGGGGAATGTCCATTTTTTTGTTGACATCTAAAGAGAAGCCGTGTGAAGTTGTCTACAGTAAAGTGAAGATCAAGGAAGCCTCTTAATGCTGTCCTCATCAAAAGGTAAAGAAGAAGAAAAGCTGCAGTCAGCCCTTACCAAGAACTCCAATCTCCAGACCAACCAGACCTTCCTCAATCTTCGAGTAGATGTCAGTCTTGCCAAAGTCAACAGCAATAGTCCTGGTCTCCACTTTAAACTGCTCCTCTGTGAAGCAGACACACGTTTCAGTTATTCATAGTTAGTGATATTTAGGAATGGAAGCATAACCCCCCAGAACCCAAAACCATTTAAAAAAAAAAAAAAAAAAAAAAAAAAAAAAAAAAAATCCAAGTTGTATTGAACAAATTGTGTGACAACAAGTTTTAAAAAAAGGCAAGGAGGATGCATGACTTAGGTTTTGTTTAAAAGCATTCATGCAAGTGGGTGATGCCTTCACGTCAAATATTCATATTATGTCTCACAAATGATCCAGGACTTTGTTTAAAAGCTCATTACACGGCTCAACAACAGTGCAGCTCTGTGTCTCAAAACCTTCAAATGAACGTAGATAGCAGCATGAAACCACTCTGTGACAGATCAACTGCAGAGGGCACTGTGCACCAACAAACCAGCCTGCTGGTCTCCCCCTCCGTCATGCACCCTCCCCCCCCATTCCTTCGTCATGTTTGACGTGCCTGCTGCAATTAGAATTTTGTCCAAAGACTCGTTTAGCTGATAGGCGGCCAAGGGAGTTACAAGAGGAAAATTCCTCTGATGTGCCTTGGCCAAAACCAGTAGTGTGTCAGTGTGTGTGCAGTCAGACTTGAGACGAGATTTACAGGGGGAAGAGGGAAAAAAAAAAAAAAAAAAAAAAAAAAAAAAAGCAGAGGGCCTCTCTGAAAAATGTTTATCGACTTCAGATCATCATTAGCCATCATAGCTACTGTCAGTGAGATTGCTAAATGCGGCTGGTGATGTGGTGATGAAGCACAAATATTAATTCACTGATTGCTGAACGGGATAAGTAATTTGACGTGGTTGATGAGTGCCATCGAGAGTCAAATGAAATGACTGCAGTGAGGAGAGGAAGAAGAAAAAAAAAAAACCCATGACAATAGGTGGGACAGGGTGGGTTGTCTTGGTTACATGTTAAGGAGGGACATTTTTGTCAGATTAATCGTGAGGGAGGAGTGCCAGAGTTTGGCACGCTGCACCCTGCTCGTGACTACCCATCAGCCCCCTCTGTGGACTTTAAGCACGACAGGGGAAATTGCGCTGTGGGAGACGTCAGAGGCATGGAAAGAGAGAGTTGCAGAGAGGACACCATTAAACAGCAAAGGGGGTGGGGGTCTCTGTTTAGATCTGGCAACTGGACAAAATAGGAGAGGACAAAAGTTTTTATCCACCCACACCCAAAATCATACGGACACTCATTTACCATTCATCATGTACTCAAATATGGGGAAACCTCATCCGTGTGAAACATATTGCAACAGGAATACGTTTGAGAGTTTCCTCAATCAGGCCAGATATTTAACCCGTCAGCCTTAATCCACAAAGGAAATAAAACACACCCTGCTCTGTTCGCTTACAAGTTGGTCAGTGTTGTAGCAGAGTAAACCTTGAGTTGGCAGGGTGCACAAAGCGTGAAATAGCGGGATTTGGAGAACAAATCTAAATAGTGAAACTGTTCTCAACAATGCTACAGTCTGTAAAACAAATTCTTTTGAATATGCACACTAGTACCTTCCCCAACAAAGTGAAACATTTCAGATCTTTTTGTTTTAAAATAAGTAAACTTTCTGGCTAAAGTCCAACTCCTCATTTTCAATATCTAAACACTTGAGGAACAGAAATCCTGTAGCTGACGGCCCGTTAGGCAGCACTGCGCTGTCATACACGCATCCTCATCATCCCACTCGCTGTGCTCTCAACCCTGAACAGGTTGAAGAGACAAATACACACACGCACGCTTTTATGCACGCTTACCAATTGACCTGGCCACATCATCCAGCTTCTCCTGAGAACGACTGATCAACATCATGGCAAATCCTCGACGAGCCAACTAGAGCACAAAAAACAGTTAGTGACACAAGTTCAACCATACTTTCAACACACAGAGGACAATGTCACAGTAGGTAACAAGCCATTAGCTGTAAATGTTTGTTCTGTAGCATTGCAGATGAATGCAACAGATTTTGTTAGTCTATTATATTCTTCCATTCAAGATCATCTTCTCAAACCTGTCATCATTGCTTCCACAGCAGCTTTTTAATGTCACTCTCCGGAAATTCTGTTTGTAAAACCACTTTCACTGCGCACAGTGATTTCTTGGCACACAAACATGTGCCGAGTACACAACCTTGCTTTAAATAAATTTAAGGTGGAGGATTGTTGCTGGTGATCAGAACTTCAACCATGAGCAAAAGGTTTTCAGCTGAAGAACCCACAGAGTTTCCAAAAGTTCAGATAACAAATCAGGTCGGAACAGCCTTTAAACAGCAGTAATTTGGACTGCTGTGACTACAACTGTGTACCACACAAAGCTTAGAAGGCAAATTTGTGTTTTACAATACAATAATTTTTCAAAGAAGGAAACCCAGCATACAAAAATAATGCAAAAAGTATCCAGTACAAAGACTCAAACTTTCATATATGAACACATTTGTTCTGTCAACTGTGTTGTGGAAATCCTTCCAACTAAAAAGGCTTTAGACTAGCGATTGTGACAATTCAGATCTTTGTCCTGTTGACCACTTATGTTGTTTGTTGCTTCTATAGCACAGGTCGAGCCCTTTGACTGAATCTGGTGTGAATCTCATTATTTTGAACCGATACACAAATAAAGTAGCATTTCTATCAAGTGCTTGTGCACAATTACCAATATACCTAAACATTTAAGGAACAAAATGCTGCCCATCACTGCATGACAAACAACAAGACACATTGTAGCCCTAACAGTATGAGTCAAAGGCTCTACATGACCATGATACAGCCGGATCTCCCACTCTGTTATGTGCGAAGACACGTGGCAGGGTAGCCCCTATTCAACGTGTGGCTGTTACCTTGTACAAGCACCAATAAGAGGTGTGTGTGTGTGTGTGTGTGTGTGTGAGAGAGAGAGGGAGGACTTTTACATGTTAATAGGCCTTTAAGAGCTCTCCCCTACGAGTGTACATGGTATATATCTATATACACACACACATGTGCATGAGTCATAGATTTTCAGTGAAAGAAATGAAATAAATAAGGGTTCGGGAGCCTCACCTCCTCCGCATAGGATTTCCCGATTCCATCTGTGGCTCCTGTCACAACTGTAGAGAAACAGAGAAGGCAGGATTCAGTACAGATTCTCTTGAGACAGTGACACAGCAAGGCCGGGGTCAAGTTGAATTGTATTCAAATAATGAGGAAGACTTCAGGACTGAAATAACTAGTTCCCCAATCTAGGTAAACTAAATTGAATGAGCCACAATTCATCATCAGAAGCAGCAGGTGACTGCAAAACGGAGTCAGTCTGTCACCATCTTATCGGACGTCATCTCTGCACGACATGTACATAAGTCTGATTTATGTGGCAGACACGCCCTACAATACTATTCACCTGCCGTTTAGGGAGGCCTTGCTTTAAGTTCTATGACGACAGCTTTTCCGATAAGTCAAGTCCATTTTGACTTAAATACTCACCGATTTTCAAATTAAGAGTATATGCACAAGGGGTGCATATATTGCAAATTGTAGGTGAAAGCAGCAAAAATGAAATTGTTTGGTAACAGCAGAGAGGATTAACAAAAAAAAAAAATACAAGACAAAAAAAAAAATTAATGAAGAAATGCCAAAAACACAAGGAGACCACAATGCAGAGATTGAGGCTGATGTTCAGAGTGAGTTTTCCCTCACCTTGCAAAGCAAACGGTTATTTTTAAACCTTCACTGCCCATCAACCCCAGCCTCTGCTTGACTGATAGAGGATTGTGGGGAGAAGGGAGAAAAAAAAAAAAAAAAAAAAAAAAAAAAAAAAGGCTGTGAGAGTGTGAGGGGTACTTACAAATATACAAGCACATAGTTGTAAATCATTAATATAATAGGAAGGCATGATGAAAGATTAATGGAGGCATAGGACATTCTCTGGCAAAGAGCTGGAAAAAAAAGACAAGATGAGAGAGGGGATGCAGAGAGGAGGGAGCGATGACGAACATAGAGCAGGAGAAAGAGGAGGGGGAAGTGGGGTAGGGAGAGTGGCAGTGGTGGGGAGGGAGAGGAGGGATCCTAGGGGTGGCTAAAAATAGAACAGGAGCGAAGCAAGAGAGCGACTGAGTGAAGGAGAAAGACACGGAATAGGGATTGCGGTGGAGGAGAGGGAGATGGGGAGGGTAGAGGGGATAAAGGGGAGTGAAAGGAGTGAGAGAGAGTAGCACAAAGTCGGAAGTGAAAAAGAGAGCAGGATCCCTGGTTATTTTTAAACGTCCCCCCTATGTTACGAATGAAATGCTCCTAGCAGAAAAGCTTCAATGGGCATGGGATGTACCAAATCAGGCTCTTGATGCAGATGCAGGTGGCAGCTTAAAAAGGCAACAAGACAGCCGCTGCAAGGTAAAAATGTCTATAAAAATATATTTTGTGGTACATTCTGAAACAGATGGGGTTTATTTCCTGTGAGCTACAGGCCTTATTCTTTTAAATAAAGCCATAAACGCACAATATAACAGTAAGTGAAAACATCATCCTTCCATGAGACGTGCTTAGCGAGAACTGGATCAGCAGCCTCTTTCCTGATGACCTTCATGCGAGTTTTGATCTTAGCTCTCATCTGTTCAAGTATAATGAACTCAAACAAAGATGAGTGTGAAACTATTTTAGATGACAGAAATGAGCACAGCTGGAGTCACAAGGTTGCTGGAGGTAACGGAGAGAGAAAGCTTTTTCTGAAACAACTTGCATCAACATTTGAGGAAAAGCCCTGACTAAAAAGGGGAAAGAAGAAAAAAAATAATAAAAAAAAGAGGACGACAAACTGATAAGCCATGAAACCAAGAATGACAAGAATGACAGCTGAAACCAAAGTACTAGATGAAACAGTTGAGTTTCAGTACACTGGGGAAAATTCACCCCACAGATGGGCAGCTGGGACACGAATATCATTTTCTTGCATGACTAACCTGCAGATTACACTTGTATGCAGGAATGCATCAAAAATGCAGCAGAAATGCGTACGCATCAACGCTGCTTGAACTTTAACCTGAAAGAAGATCCTGTGCAAGAATACATTTGCATGCCTTACAAATGCATCATCTTTTGCAACATGACATTACTCATCTGATCTATCACTTAGATACATGCGCTCAGGTTATGAATATCAAGCATTTCAAGAATACAAAAACCTTTAACTTTTTTTTTCTCCTGCCCTTAAAACCCATTTGGCCTATCTTCCATTTGATGAGCAATGATTCTGGAGTGACAATTAGAGAGTGGAAACCTAAAGTTTATAATGGTGATGTGATTTGTTTGCTGTACAGGAAAGTGGGAACAAAAAAAAACAAAAAAACAAACAAAACTGTTTTATACTAAAGTCAACAATGAAAGAGAAAAATACTCAGAACTCTTTAAGGTCACCATACTGTGAATTGTGATTTTCCACAGTGCATCAGACAACCAAGTCCACCCTGCACACTTTCCCCAGGCCTTATGCCCCCTCGCCGCACTCTCCAAGTCCTCGTGCTGCACTTATGAATGACTATACTCCTCCCACCCATTATATAATAGGACCATTTTCTCAATAATCATTTCCTAGGACTGAGTGACAGTCAAATGTGTGTACGTGTGCGTCTTCACCCGTGTGAAGAATGGGGAAGCTAGTACAGTGGGATGACGACACGGTTCTTCTGGTTTTAAGAGATTTTGTGTTTGAGCCATCATAAGTGGAGCTAAGCTGCATAACCTGAAACTTACAAGTATGGAATTATGTACAGAGAACACAATGTTCAAAAGACACAGTTCAGTCAGTGACACCCATGTGCCAGTGGCCTCCCAGCAGGAGAGAATCGCTCTTACATGAACAAAAGTGACACACAGATGCAATTTCGCAAGGAAGGATCTACGCAAGCAAGCACGTGAGTGACCGTAACACTGACGCCACACGCTGGCACCATTGTGTGTGCACCACTGCTTCTCATTCAGCTCTGAACCCAGTCCCCCCCAGTGTGTCTTCCCCCACCCCACCCCATTTCAACACCTCAGAGAAAACTGGTCCATCATGTAGGCTTTGATGCGCCCTGACGGGGGCGCGTTTGCACTGCAGCTCTGCTGTGCTTAGTGCTGCACAACATGTCCTGAGGTATTGACATCCCCCCAGCCTTTTCCGTCTCCCTCCCTCCCTCTTCAGCAGTGGAGCAGCCCTGCCACTGCCTGCTCACTATTTCGAGGGTCTAAAAAAAGCAGCAGGAGGAGTAAAAATAGCAGCGCCTGCACTGCCTTGTCTGGGAGCTGCCTGCTTGCCTGCCGCAACACCTGAATACCAACAAGATCCCCCACAACCATTGTCACAACAGCCAGGCTGCTGCTGCATCCCGATCTCTCCAACTGAAGCCCCAACACCAACTAAAGCACTGCAGGCTAGGGGGAAAATAAATAAAACAAAAAGGATATGGTGAGCGGCAGACAAAGAGCACAATGTCTTCATCTCATGATATTTAAAGGATCTTCGGTTTAGACTAACCTGCATTGCATGAGCTGTTATATGAGAGGGTAAGCAGCTGTTAAAGGACAAAGACACAACATCCAATCTTTATTAATATACCGATCATTCACTGGCACAATGAGAGTAAAATAATTAGTTTTTAGGGGTGTTTACCCGCATGGTGTAGTCTTATTTCATCTCAGAAAAATGAACTTACAGACAGGAGGGCAAAACTAAAATAATTCTATAAACTCCCCAGAACCCTCCCCGCCACCAACACCAAACCCCCAATTAAGATTCTCAGTGAGGAGAGACTGCGGTCCTTGTATGCCCCACTCCTGTTACGTACTGTTATGTAATCTGTCGCACCCTAAACTTGCCTATCAACGAGCAGCCCCTCCTATGTCTCCCAAAAAAAAAAAAAAAAAAAAAAAAAAAAAAAAAAAGGGGGGGGACGGAGGGAGGGATGCAGCAGAAGAGCCAAAGACAAACCCGCCCCTTCCTCCAAAGTCTACATCCCTTAACCAAAATACCCCTCCCCCCCTATTCTCCAGCCCCCCACCCACACAGCTTTAAATAGCAGGGGAGGCAAGTCACATGGTTGATATAAAATAAGCTTGAACAGGGAGAAGAGATGAGGGGAGGGTGGGTGTGAGACAGAGAAGAGAATGTGTATTTCAGAGCTGCCAAAGATAGAAGCAGCATCTATATTTGGGTACAGAGCAAAAAAAAATAGTCCTGTCCCCCTCTCCCACCTTCAGTCACATGCCTTGTTTAAAAATCTATTTCTTTTCACACAAGTACTTGGTTTGAGACTAGATGATTTCTGAGCTGGAAAAACTTTGCTCTTTGACCGTGTGCTGCTAAGGCAAGGATGGAATGTGCAGTGTGTTCAGTAAGGAGATTTGTTTTCACCTTTCAGACAAAGCGTACAATGAAATAGCATGCTGTACAGAACTAAAGTGAATTACACCCATGCTTCTATTACTTACTAAAAAAAGAAAAATGATAGCTTTCAACCACTTGTATGCTTGATTACATCTTTAAAACAAGTGTAAATGTAGCAGTTAGTTATGTACCCATCTTCAGAATCAGAATCTTTATTGTCATGAGAACAACGAAATTAAGAATGGTCCCCAATCATTGCATCATCCCTAGCAATATCAAAATATAAATAAAACAATAAAATTCAATAAATAAAATAGATCGAATACTTAAAATACTAATAAGATTTAACAGTAAAACATTCACATACATTCCCACACACATGCTTCAGACCGTGCATAGATTAACACAAGAGTGGCGTGATGGACATTTTTTTGTAGTATTCAGATGTGTTATTGCAGTTGGATAACAACTGTGTTTGAGTCTGTTAGTCCTTGCTCTGATTGCCCTGTACCGTCTGCCTGAGGGAAACAGTTCGAACAGGGAGTGGCCAGGATGTGAGGTGTCTTTTATGATGTTTTGGGCCTTTTTAAAACTTGATACAGTACATTATTGTGCATAGGTACAACCCAGAAAGAATGACACCCAAAATGTTAGCAGTTCATTTCAACAGACACTTAAAACTGAACAAACTGCCTCGCTGGCATGTTGGCTCGCAACCAAATTACTGATGTAACCTGACACGAGGCAGTAAAACCAGCAACAAGAAATATGTTGCTGGTCCAGTACGGCGCTTTCAGATGACAGTTGCTGAACTGTTCTACATCTTGGTTATGTGTGCATGTCTTAAAATGTCAGTAATCTGGAAGGTGCTGGAGCTTCAGCTAGAAACACTGCAGCCAAATAAATGTAATTCATTCATATTTTAACATTTGGAGGGATTTCTGCTAGTTTTTTAAAGCTTAAGGGCTTTAAGTGGCAGTTTGAAAGCAGAAATGTTTAGTGGAGCAACAGACAAATTTGTAGTAAAGTTGTCTAAGTTCTAGAGACGCCAAACAATCATGCAAGAATACAACTGTCAGAATTTAGTCGCAAATGGATCCAAAATACAGATAATATACAAAGAAAGGATCAGATGTTTAACTGCTCTTCTATGAGCCTCAGTTATTGAAACCCCAATACATTAATTTTCAAGTGATGCAGAATTGTGAAACAAAAATAAAACTGAAGCCAACATACTCAGAGGAATATACTGTAGCTATAAACAGACCCACTTGCTGTATGGGGAGATGGGTGAAATGAAGTGAGGTGGGGGGTTGAGATGAGGAAGATTTTTCTCTGCCCCCCCCCCCTTTTTTTTTTTTTTTTTTTTTTTTTTAAACCCAACATCCCTGGCTCAGGCACGTGTCACAGAGCGTGTTCATCACATGAACAGCAGTGTTCTCCTCTCCGCCCACACTCACACAAAGCAGTAAGGGAAGGCACATTCACAAGGATAAAGTGGAGACCCTGCCTCAGTTGAAACGCACACACACAAAGCTGGCTTTCATTCACACATGTGGATGTTTTTTTTTTTTTTAACATGAATGAAGCCTTATGTCTATTCACAAAAAATGCACTGAAGATTACTCTCCCATAATAATCAGCACTGAAACTCTGGTTTGCCTGCTGGGTCTGTTGATAAACTCGCAATCCCTGGTTTATTCTCTGAGCCGAACTGAGCAAAATTCTTGCATAAGTGCTGACCCAAGCCTTTGTCACTCATGTGCTGAGCTGATGAATGGCTGCATCCTTCTTATATAATGGGACCATTTTCCTCAATAAACTCTGCTGTCAAGGGAATTGGGGGAACAGGGCCGGAGGGGTGGATTCCAGGGCACATGTAACATTACTATGCCCCCCACCTTTGCTTTAACAAAAAAGGAAAGGGGGGGGGGGGGGGGGGCATGTCTTTGGTTCAGTTTATTTCCCTGTATCTACACACATGCAACAGGACCGACACCGGCTCCCTTACATAATACAGGATGCTGGGGGCTAAGACTGGAGGAGGGAGCACGGAGCAGAAAAACCAGAAAACCGAGGGCTGCTGCATGTTAGACTGGAAAGCTTCCCTACTGGAACTGAAAGCAATGCTAAATGCTAAACAATTTGATAACATTATACCACCAAATATTAAATCCTTTAAACTGTTATCAAATGCCTGAAAGGCAGATTTGTGCAATATACCCCCCCCATGAATCCACAAATAATCTTAAAAAGCTGCTAAATAAAAATAAATAAAAGGGCAATTAAATGTAAATTTCAAATGTCTTTTAGAGAGCTGCCATTCTTTTGCTGAATATCTTTAACAGAACTGAGCTGTAGAGATGGTTCAGACTGGCAGGGGATGGGGAGGGTGAGTATGTGAAAACAGTGCAATAGAGAGGCTGGGGAAGCCGCCTTGACTCATACTGCAGCGCTGCTGTTCAGCCACTAGGAGTCCCATCCACTAAGGGGAAAACCACTGGCAGAGGAACTCCTGAGAAATCCCTGCTCTGCTCTGCATATGAGAGCAGCAGAGTTTTAGCCCAACACAGACAGCGTGTACAGTGATTACGAGGAAACAAAACCTTACAAACTAATATCTGAATAGAAAGCGAAGCAAGTTCTTCACCTAAACCTACCTTCAAACGTTGAAACTCGTTTCAGCAGGAAATACTAGTCGCCTCCTCTGAGATTTTTATAGAAAGCAAGCCCGTTCTAGAAATATGCATCTAAAATAAAGTACAATGACCCCCTCCCCCACCAAATACAACTTCACATACGTTTAAGAAGCTATACGTTTAAATTGCATTTCTGATCAAATACTTCAGTTCAGTTTCAAATGTGTTCTTAGACAAAGAAACTGTATATGACAGACGGAATATTCACTGTCATTAGTAAATAGAAACTCTAAATTCTCTAAAATGATAAAAGTTATAAATTCAGAGGACATATTGTTCTTGTAGGAAACTAAAACTGAACAGCACTACAGATTAAATTCATGCTGCCCAACTGCAAAGGGTATAAATAAATAGTGATTTCCCACACTATCCAATAGCTGGAAGAAGGAGGACTTGTTGCAACAAGGATCTCTGAAAGGTGGGGACCGGTAGTAAAACGATGTATCGTGCATGCGTTAAAGAAACCAGACCACTGCCTAAACTGGCCAAACCCGCACATCTGGTGTAACCGGCGGAGGCGCACGCCTCATCCCGATCACACATGCCCCCACCTCTCCTAACGCGCACACCTGTTTTCGTCCTGCCATCTCCGACCGTTGTGATTGGAAACGTACGCCAGACTTGTCAGACTGGTGGCACCAATTGGTTTCAGGGAGTGGCATGTTCACATCTTACGTAAAGCGTAAGAGAAGAACAAATGTGACGGAGTGGGAAAGTTCCGTAAGAATCCTTTCAAAAAAAAAAAAAAAAAAAAAAAATCCATGTAATCTTCTAGTTTAGAGCATCCTTTACGCCCCTAACTCAGGAGCTTTACAAATAACGAAGATCACATTTATTTGAAACGCACACAAAATGGGCTGTGCTAGAATAAAACTGTATAATGAAACATTCGAGGTAAATAAAAATGCAGGAAAAAGATTAATGCGAAGTTTAGTGCTGCACTTGATAACATACTGTGGGTGGGTGGGTGGGATGACGTGAAGGTGGCATTCCTATATGGCCAAAGGATGACGAAGCGATGAACAAGCGCATGACTCATCGGTGTGCACCGACATTCCTCCGCATATTCCATCAGAATCACTTAAAAACGTGCATTAGTCGTTCTTAAAGGCATCCTACCGCCCTACCTTTGCGTCATACATTTCAGCCCCTCTAATGGCGCAAAGGGCCTCAATTAAACATACATTTTACAAAACTGACGGTTTCGTCAAGAAGTGCGCCACAATGTACAGATAAACATCTGTGTGACTGAAAGAAAAAGGAAAACAAGCATTTATATTATCCGCCTGGCTTTTGGAGAGGAAGGGGGTAGAATATCCACCTATCCCGACGCGAAAGAGAGCGCCTGCTAAACTGCGCAGCAAGACGCTCCAGACGCAGCAGTCTTCTCCAAACAGGGACTAGAGAAGTGGGTCAAGCCATGGCAGGGCGATTCCTATGAGACAAGTCTCTATCAAACCATAACGCACTTAGGTATGACTCCGAAGTCACTTCCGTTTTGACAAAAACGTTTTTTTTAGTGTAAATTATACAGTCAAATCCAATAATGACACATTAATCTTATGAGAAAGGTTTGCAAGGCAAACCGAAGGACAGGACAAGAAGACCTGATTAGTGAGAAACCGGCGACATGAGAAATACAAAAAATGCCGCCAGTATAAATATGCTGTGGAAGGGGAACACATTTTTCAGGCACGTTTCAAGAATTACGGGTAAACCACTGAAAATGACATGCAAGATGATCTAGATGTAGGTCACGTTTTAATTAAGCATATGGGTTTGTCCTACATCATGCGGATGGGTTAATGTGGTTCAGTAGTGCTCCGGCTAAGAGCTCACCCACATAAAACAGCTCTGTGAAAAGTGCGCATAGCCTGCGCAATTTGGCTCCTGGCTCACCAATGTGGGGCATCCCCGCACCGTTCCAAATGTGCTTTGAAAACGCTGACTGGAGCCCTTGGCAGGAGACTGTGTGCTGTGTTTGACGTGAGAAGAAATGAAAACAGTTGGAGGTAATAAGGACAATTATCTTCTCAGTCAATCAGCTGCTTACCTGCGCCTGTTACGCAACACCAACTTCCCCTTGAATGAATCCACAAAAAAAGAAAAAACGCAGAACGCAGTTTTTTGTGTGCCAAAGTCAAGTTTGCGCTCAATAACCTCATTCTGGTGCTCGAGCAGAGTCCACCTGCCTACTTCTGAGCTGCCCTCTTCGTGACCGTGAATGTGCTGTAGGTGGCTTGGAAATTGATGTGACCCTACTCACCTGCCCATTTGCCTAGCTTCGGAGACAGCAGCTGTCCATTTCCCAAAACCCAGATCCTAAAGCCTGTGAGCAGCCTGTAGAGCAACCACAGCGTCAGGGAGGCCACAGTGAATGCACCGACCCAGAAGAGAGGCGTTTCGGCCCAGCTGATCATTTCCTCAACGTTCATCCAGTTCACGGCAGCGGCTCTCGGTGACTCTGCGTGTGTGTGAGTGTGTATGTGGAGACCTCAATTTTAGGCAATGTGCTCTAATTTCCAAGCCACAACGTGAGAGAGTCCCTTTATAAGGAGGTTGTAGCATCACACACACTCCCCCAACACTTGTCTAGCCTGATTTAAAGTGCACCGCCCACCTCCTACTCTGCACCGCCCTTCCCTGTTCCTCACTGCCTGCAGTAGGTGCCCGTCGACTGATCCAGCCCCTCTATAGGCTGCTTTGCGCGTCAGTCAAAAGCAGAGCTTCCCCCATTCATTCGATTTTCTGTATGAAATGGGGTGGGTCAAAGGGAGACCGGGATGAGGAGTGATTGGACAAACATTACGGCAGCTCCCATCCTGAGTCAGGTATTGGCTCTCACCAGAACAGGTTTGACGGTTTCAGTCAGGATTATGAAACCCTCCAAACCCACGCCTGCGAAAAAAAACTGCCCACACCACTTTATGAATGAAAGGATGCTCTCATTGGTGAAAAATGTGCGCGTCCTCCCGCCCAATGGAGAGCATTTGGACATGCTTTATTGGCTGAAGTGATTGCCAATCAGTGAGGTCAGCCTGTTCCTAGCTAGATCCGAGTTAGTCATCTATTTTAGGTATTCTGTTTGCATCACACTGCTGATAACTACTAAATATGCAGAGATAAGTGCGGCGAAGGGTTTTTTGGTGCCCCGATTAAATTCTTTGTTCCAGATAACTCCGTCACAGACATTTCTGTCGTAACATGCAAAAATGTGCTCCCCAAAAGGGAAGACTACAATGCCCAACCACACTCTTGTTAGCCACACTCTCGCGAGATTGCCCGATCGTAGTAAGTTCCCCATCATCCAAAACATTGAGCAAGGATGAGATGTGTGTGCGCGCGTTACATAAACATTGAGACAGTCGTGTGAATGTTCCGTCGCTTTATTTTATTGTTTTGTCTACATTTTCATACACACAAATGAGCCAGTCATGCTTACAGAGTCCAGATGTTTCACAAGAACAGACTGCCATGATTTTAAGCTCGGCAGTATGTGCTCTGTTTCCCCAACTCCGACCCCGAAAGGCTATTTGCAGCAGCTTTTGGAGTCTCCAGCACACCCATCTGCCGCCATGCTTCCTCTCTCTCTCACACACACGCAAATTAAACGTAAAATTGTGACAAATAAAAGGTCTGCGAGACAAAACGAGGGCTGTCATGTACTCAGCAGAGGGACAAAAGTATACGAATAAGATTGTTTGCTTGTAGACATAATGCAGCTGCTCGTATTCTTTGACAGAAGAGAAGAGATCGAAGTCAACGTGACACTGACGAGAAGGAGCAGCAAGTTGTGTAACAGCTTCAAACAGGGTAAAATTAAGAGTATAGTGACTAGCTGTCTCTCAATCACCCTTACATACAGCAGACATAAAATACATTTACAAATGTCGTGTTAAATTCTCATCTTTTACAAAGTAATCTTTAAAAAACACATGTTTAAAATATTTTTTAATACCGATTTACATCCTGCAACCTCAACACAGCCAATATCACATAGCTGAATTAAATAATAATACATAATAATCAACACACAGGCTCTGACATAAGGCTGTTTATTCAACAAATATATGCAGGCAATTTCTTAACATTAAAACAATAGACTTAATGTTTAATTGTGCCAGGGAAATTACATTTCCCTGGCACAATTTATGTAAGAAAGATAGTAGCATCACATTGTCTTTAAATGGATTTCAAAAATATATATAATTTTATTTATTTTTACTAATGACACACACACACACACACATACACAGGCACACGGTCTATCAGATGTTTTGAAAGTCCACAGTCACGTCACGGCCACGTCCTCGCAGTCCAATAGCTAAAAAGAGGGAAAAAGTTAGGATTTAGACGTGCACAATTTCCCCGTGAAAATGTTCACACGTGTCTGTATCTGTAAGACTTTAAACACGCAGAGAAAGTGAACCACACACATTTGCATATCAGTTTCCCCACCGACTCTTCACGTGCACGATGTTGGATTATTTTGGCACATTTAATATTAAATATACCAAAAGGTACAAGCATGTTTTTATTTGTATGTTTCTACCAGCTTGTCACGTAATCACAAATATAACCACAGCGTCGGCTTGTTCCTATTTCAAGGGTTTTATTTTGTGTACATGAAAATTGTACCCACCCCACCCAGTATCGATAACCCTTAGCACCTCTCATCTAAGTCGCACAACACAAAGCACTGCCCATGTTTAAGTTTCTGCCCCGCTCCTCTCACCACACTGGCACACAGTCTTTCGCACACATGATCAGAGCCTATGCTAACCACATTTTACCCCCACACACCCTAAAGCCACTGTGCACTTTGGCTTCACAGCACCACAAATCCGTTTTTACTCTCACAATATTTTCTTCCCTTCCCTTCAGCATTAGTTTGTCCAGATGTAATCTGCAATATTCCTAAATTGATTATGAAACATGAATTATAAGGGTAGTAACAATTGCTAGAAATTAAGAGGTATATGGTAAATGGTAAATGGCCTGCATTTGTATAGCGCTTTTCTAGTCCCTAAGGACCCCAAAGCGCTTCACACTATGTATATATATATATATATATATATATATATATATATATATATATATATATATATATATATATATATATATATATATATATATATTTAAAAAATCCATAACGACACAAAGTTCAGAGTAACGAGTGACGTTGACAAAGTATTAAAAGAGACATCGACGGTCGCTGCTGAAGCTAGGAGCCTTTCATTTCATATTTTAACATGAATATAAGTAGCATTTAAAATATGAAATATTTCTTCTAGCAGTATTTCACTTTATATTTAAATAGCACTGACCAGAATTTAGAAGAGACTCAAACAATGTGTCGAGGTTTCCTTTAATTCTGAGCCCTTTGTGCGTTGCTGTCCACCTCCGTGGTGCTGAAATGCGCACGGCCTAAGACGCACAGAGAGCGTCCTTCAACGGGAACAAAGCTTCATAAAAGTAAACAACTGACCTCTGCTCTACACAGGTCGATCCACGTCTGTCATCAGACATACATTTACCAGACATGACCAGACTAGTCCTGGGATGCCATTTACGCACAGCTGTCCACCCCACAGCGACTACTCCCTGTCCCATTTGTGCCTCTTTACCTGACAATATAACGTCTGTAAAGCAGCACGTTTATTTCAGCCCGAAACACAACTTTTATCACAAGCCTTCCAGCAACACAGCACAGCAAAATGGGGCGTAATTCTCCTTTTACATGCCCCCAATGTTTTCCGTGAAAGTGGCAACACTCAGGACTTATAGAAGACGCAAACGGTCTCTAAAATCTGATCACTCCATTCACAAATATCTGCCCCGAGAGTCATATTCAAAGCCTTAAAAATATATGACAAGAGACACAAATTCAGTGCAACTTCTCTACAATATCATTACCAACTATTATAATTAAGTTTTACATGTTTTGATTTCTTACATACCTGCGGTCCGACGGCGGTAACAAGGTCACAGGATCTTTGAGAATGACCGATAGCATAGTGGCAAATACATATGTACACACACACACACACACACACACACACACACACACACACACACACACACACACACACACACACACACAGAGAGAGAGAGAGAGAGAGAGAGAGAGAGTCAAATTTTATTTTCATCAAACATAACAAAGCAGTCTAACAATCTTAAGCAACTCGTATTTTCATATATTTTATAAATGACTGACGACTGAAACATCACAGCAAATATGACTCATCTGGGTCGTTTCTTTGCATTTACAATTTAAGCAATTTTAGCATATACACACTAAAATATAAAACCATACTTCACAGTATATTTTAACAGTCTTGAGAGTAGAGACGTTTGCTTTTGCTTGTGCCCCAACGTTTTAAAAAAGGTAAAATCAGCTGTTTCTAATGAAATTATAGTATTTACAGTTTCCCTCTGTTAGCTAATAAACAGTTTCTAAGGACAGGCTTATGGATAGATTATTTTAAAATGCATGCAGTTTGACAGGACATACATTTACTCCTGTTTTTATAAGATAACATATACAACACATAATCACCTGCCATGTGTGTGTCCAGCTGAAGAGCCACCCATGAGCATGTTCAGCCTCCTGTCCATGTGTGTATCTCATTGTTCTGCAAGAAAAGACATCATATTACAAACTATTACATTTACTGTCACTGTACATACAGTGGAGTCTTTTTTTTCTAAGTGAAACATGCTCAAGCACACACATTAAACAATGGCACACACGCACGCACGCACGCACGCACGCACGCACGCACGCACGCACGCACGCACACACACACACACACACACACACACAATCGCATGGGCAAGCAAACATATTTATAAGAAGGAATCCAAACATTCCACATTTAATATTTATTCCTGTCTATACCATCGAATCAAAGTCTTACTATTACAGACAAATGAAAAGAAAAGAAAAAAATGTCCATTTTGAAACTGAGCACAGAAACACACACAACTCTGAATCCTGCATGTCCACAACATGGAGACACAGACGTACAGTGTCTGCACTCCCACTCTCACATATGCACACACACACACTCACAGCATCACACCCTGCACCTCCTGAAACATATAGCTTTTAAACTACAAAAAGCATCCCTGAACATATAAACTGCTAATTTACCACACACCCCCCCCCACACACACACACACACCCACACACACACACGCACGCACACACACACGCACGGACGCAAAAATCACCCTGGATAATAATAACTCTCCTTCATTACAAACACATTAAAATGAACAGAACAGCAGCTAATTTCTACCCAAAGCTCTGTAAAAAGTGTTTGTCATAAAATAGTTTTCTCTCAGATATCAAAAAAGAGAATAAAATAAGCTACACATTTATGCGTCACGCATGTCACACACTCTTTCTCACACATTTTCAGAGCCTACACTGACCACATTTTACTTATGCACACCCCAAAACTACAGTCCACTTTGACACTACAGCACCACAAACCACCTTAAAATAAGCTTCACATTTATGCATCACACGTCTCAGTTTTGTTCAGCAATGTTCAGAAATGCCTCGTAGTGCAACACACAACTAAAATTAGTGTTTCCTAAATTGTAAAGTTGTACCCAAGGATTATTAAATATAAGGTTATAAGTTTGAATATTTGTCTATCTAAGCTTTTTCTGCTGTGGTTACATACACACACACACAGATTGGAGCCGTTAGGCGTGCGTGTGTCTATGTCTGGGGATCCTTCTGCATGTTTACAGTTTCAATTTTGCCTTTAAAAAAATCCAAACCACAAAGCATTGCTCATGTTTAACTTTCAGCCAGTCTCTCCTCACCACACAGCTACACGCTCATTCTGACATATTTTCAGAGGCTAAGCTGATCACATTTTACCCACTTACACTCTAAAACCACCGTCCACCTTGACGGCACCACAAACTAGTTTTTACCATAACCTTAAAATAAGGTTACCTTAAAATAAGCTTCACGTTTATGTGTCATACGTGTCACAGTTTTGTTCATAGATGAACGCCTCATAGTCCCACACACAGGTAAAGTTAGTGTTTAATTAATATAATATTATATATTTATTACTGTTATATGTTTAAATATTTGTCTCTCTCAGCTTTGTCTATTTCACACACACACACACACACACACACACACACACACACACACACACACACACACACACACACACACACACACCACTTCATTTCCACACACACCATTTCCAGCTGTTAGAAGTGTGTGTGCATGTGTGTGTATGTCTAGGTATCTTCCTGCAATTCTACATTAACAATTTTATTAGAAGTGTTACTTTTTCATGTCCAGCTCTGTGGGAATGAGTGGGTTAATGTGTATTATGTTGCACACACTTGGAATATATCTACGTAGGTGCTCAGAAAGACATTTAGACAAACGCAATTTCCTACACACACACGGACAACTATTGACGCTCACGTTTTTGAAGGCATTGACATTCATGTGCATGAAGTCATTCTTACACACACTGTGCACAATTTTACATTTAGTAGCTATATACGAAAGTGATCAGAAACAGAATTTCTGTACACACACACACACACACACACACATAAACATGCACACACATACACATACACGCACACAGAATCTAGTAAATTAGAAAGCAATACTACCATGTGAGCAAAATTTAAAGGAGTTAAAATAAAATGTATTTTTTTTAAGTTTGGCATTAGCAGTTTTACATCTGCATTAAAAGCAGTTTCAAATTTACATTCAAATTACACAACTTTTTACATTTAATCTGCTGCTTGACATTTCAGACGTTTACAACATCAGTACGATATCTCAAAATGCCATTTTGCCACTTCACCAGCTCTTACTGTATCTGCTGTGAGGAATTTTCAAAATGACGCACAGGACAGCAAGCCACCTGGCACCAAGTGTGCGCCAAGGCACAATAACCTCTGAGTTAGGTGCTGACCCTGCAGTAGAATTTCTAAATACTTCATATGTGAGGTATTTAGGTCTCCAGTAAGTACATATATATGTTAATTTAGGCTCTCAGATTGTCTCATATTTGCCTTTAGAAGAATACTTCAATATGATGAAGATTTAGACATATTTTTTTTTATTCAGCCAGTTTCTAAAGGTGTCTCTCTGCAAACCTTGCCACTAACCTTCAAAATTAAAATAAATTAATAATCCTTGGTATTATGATACAACAGTCCTACAATAAATCAGTAAATAAAATCAGTACAACAAAAAGTGATTGAAGGTTTAAAATGGTTTAAAATGAAAGATTGGTTTTAGAGAGGTTTAGATTCAGCTTTATCCTGTATTGTATTGCATTATACTGAAAGATGTTTCCATTATTTTGTCCACCCTATTGACATCAATAAACAGAACCGTCCATCAGTATAACACAATATCGCTTTTTTCCATTTAACAATTTTTATTACAAATATCAAAGTTTTTACAGTCCTCATAAGATATTTTTGGGAAATGAATTCAAACTGTATCAGAGTGTGTTAGTCTTTCCTTGCCGTACCTTATAAACTGGTGGTTGACTGTGTAAGCAATCATTAAGCTTAAATCCAGACACAGAAGCATCGGTACAGACTCAAAAAAACCCTTCGGATCATTTCTTGTCAAGACATTTTTACAAATTTTGTAGAAAATACTTAATCCTGTAGGGCAGAGATTTACCCAGCGCATGTTTTCAATGTTAAAGGGACTTTAGTGCCGTTTTTCCTAGAAAGCTGAACTTCTCTGTTTTTTTAAGTGGTCTTCCCATTGTTTTCATGTCCTAAGTCTTCAATATAGAGTTTAAAATTCTGGCGACATACAAATTTTTATATTTTCTTGTGGTTGAAAGATAAAGAACTCCGATTTGGTATTCTGGAATTCAAAACTCTTCCCTAATTCAGGATCCAAAGTTCCTTTATGGGGTCCCTAAAGAATTGGTTGTCAGGGTTTCTGGGTCGTTGACCCAGTATTTTCAGTTCATGTTCACTGTTTATCCTCTGTACGTTCCACTTCCTGTTTTGTGTTACGTTACTCTGTGTGCATTATGTTCTAGTTCTTATTCCATGCATCATTAGTTCAATTGTGTTCAGCTGCTCACTCACCTGTCACCTATCAGTCATTGTTCAGCCAGTGTATTTAAGTCCTCAGTTGTCTCCTGGTCGGCGTCGCGTCATTGATGTTGTCACTGCTGTCTATGACCCATGTTTGCCTTCCAAGTTCAGATCAGTCAGCCGTTCATTCAGTTATTCAGTCAGTCAGCCATCTCCTGTTTTCGTCATTCGTCCCTCACAATAAACACCCTGAATCTTCACCGTGAGTCCTGCGTTTGAGTCCTTTTCTCCACATCCACTCAGCAACCCCTGACATTGGTTTGATAATCAGAGAATTAGTATGAGATTTAATTTATCAATAGCTGATAGAATGTCTTAAAATAACAAAGTTTTACTAACAAGAAATAAAACAAACAAACAAACAAACAAACTCCATAATCAGCGATGTCACCTTAGGTCACATTAGGCCGAGGTAGTGTTTTCGCCTTATGTTCCAGAAGCTACTTAAGAGCTGGAATACAATTTATCTACCTGCATTGTTTAATCATGACTAAGTCTCTCTCTTTCTGCAGCTTTAAAGAGTCTCAAATATGCTGACGTAGTCTAAAAGGTGGTTTAAAACTGGTTCTTGGAGGTGTACTTAAGCGGAAGCATAATTTCCCTGCATTTACTGACATAAACTGGTTGGTTCATTGCTATAGATGGTTTTTTTTTAACTGAGATTATTGCTGCTGTGCTTGTTGGAACTTGACTGGGCTCTTTTCCTTTCCTTGCTCCACCTTTTTTGCTTGTTTTTGCAATTTGTTTTCCACCTGTACCTGTGCAAACTTGCCAAATGTATTTAGGGTTTGCCTTGATTTTCTAATTTTTGAAACTGAGATAATTGTTTTCTGAGTTTGTGGTGGAAAGAAATGACTTTAGATTTTGAGAAATGTAGTTTCTTCAAAAATTATAACTTCACATTCAATAAGAAAAGATTTCATTCATACTAGAGCAATCACAGGTCACACCCTGTTTACTTTGCCCCAGGATTAGGCCACTCTGACTGGTTCTGAGTGCAGGGGGTGTGGATGTGTCTTACTTAAACCTGTTTGACTTTCTGGAATTTCAGGCGGTGCTGATGGAAACAAAAGTGTTGCTTGATCTGAGCGTTGCCCGTCCAGCTGCTGCTCCCACCCTGCTGGATCCAAGAGCTTTTGTTTTCTAACCTTTTCTTCTTTTCTGTCATTGGTCGTGTTAGTTTCCATTTTCTTTCTTTTTGACCTAATAATACACACAAAGATTAAAGATAAATCTCGTGCACACACTGTTGGGAACATCCACACATACTGACCCCAAATTATGTGCAGCAAATGACCAGGCTACAGCTAAGATGCCATAAACATATATCAAGCAGTGGAAAATAAACATGCAAAAAAAAAAAGTATAGCTTTCATATTTAATCAGTGCTCGGTGTTGGGACTGTAATTAATGGTAAAACAGTCAGCCAGGATAACAGGGCTGGGACTCTTTGTTGGTGTGGGACACAAATAGTGGGTGTCCTGCTTTTTTCAAGCCCTCCAGC